TTTTAGATGTATGATCATGTGTCATGGTAGAAAGGAGGTGTACCTACTGTGTGGCATGCCTACATCTTTTAGATGTATGATCATGTGTCATGGTAGAAAGGAGGTGCACCTACTGTGTGGCATGCCTACATCTTTTAGATGTATGATCATGTGTCATGGTAGAAAGGAGGTGTACCTACTGTGTGGCATGCCTACAGCTTTTAAATGAATCATCATGTGTCATGATAGAAATAGGGTGTATCTACTGTGTGGCATGCCTACATATTTTAGATGTATGATCATGTGTCATGGTAGAAAGGAGGTGCACCTACTGTGTGGCATGCCTACATCTTTTAGATGTATGATCATGTGTCATGGTAGAAAGGAGGTGTACCTACTGTGTGGCATGCCTGCATATTTTAGATGTATGATCATGTGTCATGGTAGAAAGGATGTGTTCTTACTGTGTGGCATGCCTACATCTTTTAGATGTATGATCATGTGTCATGGTAGAAAGATGGTGCACCTACTGTGTGGCATGCCTACATCTTTTAGATGTAGGATCATGTGTCATGGTAGAAAGGAGGTATACCTACTGTGTGGCATGCCTACAGCTTTTAGATGAAGGATCATGTGTCATGGTAGAAAGGAGGTGTACCTATTGTATGGCATGCCTACAGCTTTTAGATGTATGATCATGTGTCATGGTAGAAAGGATGTGTACTTACTGTGTGGCATGCCTACATTTTTTAGATGTATGATCATGTGTCATGGTAGAAAGGAGGTGCGTCTACTGTGTGGCATGCCTACATCTTTTAGATGTATGATCATGTGTCATGGTAGAAAGGAGGTATGCCTACTGTGTGGCATGCCTACAGCTTTTAGATGTATGGTGGTTTGATGTTTGCGGATTTTTAAGTTCGAAAGTTCTTTTGTGTTCCTGATGTGAAATGTACAGGTATCAAGTCTGGCTGATAACCTGGGTAATGAGTAAGGGTAATTATCAGAAACCAGCAACTGAAATCTTGCAAGACTTTAGGTTAAAGAAACAGCAAAACTTTCAGTTGATAAAGTGCTGGTCTTATGTTTGAATCACAAATACGTCCCATACTGGCAGCACCATACCTGGGTACTGGTTCGTTTAGAATTCTCTATATCCTGACACCATGATGTTACTGGCCAACGCTGACACATCTTGATGTTACTGGCCTATCCTCACACACCATGATGTTACTGGCCTATCCTCACACACCATGATGTTACTGGCCTATCCTCACACACCATGATGTTACTGGCCTATATTGTGACACCATGATGTTACTGGCCTATATTGTGACACCATGATGTTACTGGCCTATCTCGACACACCATGATGTTACTGGCCTTTGTTGACACACCTTGATGTTACTGGCATTTATTGACACAGAATGATGTTACTGGCCTATCCTCACACACCATGATGTCACTGGCCTATCCTCACACACCATGATGTTACTGGCCTATATTGTGACACCATGATGTTACTGGCCTATATTGTGACACCATGATGTTACTGGCCTATCTCGACACACCATGATGTTACTGGCCTTTGTTGACACACCATGATGTTACTGGCATTTATTGACACAGAATGATGTTACTGGCCTATCTCGACACACCATGATGCTACTGGCATTTATTGACACACCATGATGTTACTTGCCCATCTTGACACACCATGATGTTACTTGCCCATCTTGACACACCATGATGTTACTTGCCCATCTTGACACACCATGATGTTACTTGCCCATCTCGACACACCATGATGTTACTTGCCCATCTCTCGACACACCATGATGTTACTTGCCCATGTGTTACGACACACCATGATGTTACTTGCCCATCTTGACACACCATGATGTTACTTGCCCATCTTGACACACCATGATGTTACTTGCCCATCTTGACACACCATGATGTTACTTGCCCATCTTGACACACCATGATGTTACTTGCCCATCTTGACACACCATGATGTTACTTGCCCATCTTGACACACCATGATGTTACTGGCCTATCTTGACACACCATGATGTTACTGGCCTATCTTGACACACCATGATGTTACTTGCCCATCTTGACACACCATGATGTTACTGGCATTTATTGACACACCTTGATGTTATTGGCCTATGTTGCCACACCTTGATGTTACTGGTCTATCTTGACACCAATTACCTGACAACATATCATTATTGCCTTGTCAGCTTCCCCTGTACCTTTTTTCAGCATCAAGACTGGGGCAGTGCAGACTTAACCCAGTTGTTGCAGTCTGTGTTTAGAGATTTCTGTATGGATGTGTTCCAATCATGGATGACCTACACTATCAAACTCTTTAAATAGCTGATCAGAGATAAGGCTCTGTATTGCTATTGGTTTGATAACATAAGACCTGTGAGTTGTCATGGTAACTGCTCATCCCAGAAGTGTCTGATGTAACGCTATATATTATCTGTTGATGGCTTTTTGTATAGTAAATCACTACGGAAATGTAATGTTAGCCTATAAGTGTTATAGAAGAAAAATGATGAAAAAATCCTCTATTTCATATGCCAGCTTGGCAGCGTGATTAGCAGATGAAACAATGGAAAGTGGTGTAGGATTTGTACGGATTATGGCATGAGATTACGATGGACTGGAAATCAAACCTGCCCTGGTGACCTCCCTTTGTGCAACTTATGGCATTAAGATTATCTGGTGACACTTAAGGCTCTGCAATGTGCTGTGAAGAGAAGCACTGTATAAATCAAGGATCCAGTGACCGTGGGACGATTCCCAGAATCTCCCGGATAATGATACATTCGAGCTCCATTGTCTCGATATTCATGGGACCAAGAAAAAATATCGAAGTTATTCGAACTTCGAGACATCCGACCAGGGCATATCATCACATATCACTGAAAGAAAACAAAAAGTAGAAAGTAGATTTCATGTATATTTATTTGTATATACCTTTTTACTCACAGGGATCGCGATCACACACAATACAGGTCATGTTACAGTTGCACAAAACCCTCATTGGATTCTCAGTATGTTTTGATTCAAAACTACAGTGGAAACCGCCTAAGTAAAGACCGCTTAACTAAACAGACCTGATAAGTAAACACTTTTCTTTAGTCCCGGAAAATTTCTTCATTAATAATCACTATTAGAGTCTGGTTAACTAAACTCGGATAAGTAAACAATACCGTTTAACTAAACGTCTTCTCACAGTCCCTGGAAGTAAATTACTTAACAAAAGAGACTGGATAACTAAATTAGCAATCACCACATAATGCGACATGAGGGGCAGTCATGTCAGTCTCCAGTCAAACAAACATCCTACTTACAGCTCGCTGGCGTCAAGCAGTTGACAATACACTGACAACTGGAGGCCAGCCCTGATAAGTTGTTCATTGTTACATGTGTATAAATATACATGCATATGGTTGTCATTTGCAGGTTTTATAAGTTTGGATAAGTAAAATACCTGATAAGTAAACAATTTTGGCGAGTCCCTTGAAATTTTACTTATCAGGTTTCCACTGTACATGTATTATCCGTTATCAGTAGTGTTTAGTCGTAACAGTGAGTACTTCCTAATTAATTCCTTGTTACTTGATCCTCATTAAATAACAAGCAAGTGACACCTTCAACTCAATTAGCCCTAATTAGTTTACAATTTATCGCATCCCTTTGATTCATGCCGCCCATGTGTGTAGCGTGTGGAAACAACCTCAGTTCAGAGGTACTGATACTTGTCCATGAAAGGAAGGAAAATATCGAGTTTCTTTGCAAATATCAGGTTAAAAGGGTAATTTTGCTTGTTGGGACCATGAAATTATATCGAGATATCCAAAATATCGAGACCTCCGTATCAAGTTAAAAGAGCTTGAATAATGATAAATTATGAAGGATTTTGACAGGACCAAGATGCTATATCGAGACAACCGAGATATCGAGTTATCAGAGTTCGACTCAACGGTGCTTGACTGTACTTTGTTTGTCAGCCATTATCCTTTACCCGAGACCATATGATAATTCACTGTATGGTCTCTGTCTTTACACATGGGTTTCAACAACATGATAAATACCTGTATCACTTAAGGTATTCCTTCAACAGCAAGTTACCTGCCACACTGTCATATAACCGATCCTCTTAAAACAGTATTAAACACACCCACTCTGTACACCATGACTGATACGTAGGTTTAATTACATGTACAGACATTCAGTCTGCCTGTATCACAGGAGAGTTATAAGATGGAAGTCACAGTTGTGTAGGTCTCATATACTTTCCATTGTAGTGAAACCTGCAAGCTAATCTGGAAACTTAATCAGTCAGAAAATACATACTATATTAAAGTTGGTTTCTTGCTCACAATGTGTCAGGGTTAAACGTTGGCATTTCCACCTGTCGTACTTATAGGATAATCACCAAGTATTGACCTTGGGTCCACTCAGTGAGATAAGCATGATGTCTGACAAGAAAAGCCATGTTCAATGTTTCAAACTGTACAGGCCATGGGCTAAACCCAAGTATATTCCACAATGAATCTTGTATTGACCAGTTAATGGAAGACAGTGTCCAGGCAAACAATACTAGAGCTTGTATACCAGGCAGGAGGTTTACTAAGTCAGTCGCCTTCCTTCTGAAATTGGGGCAGTGGGGTAGCCTAGTGGTTAAGCATTCGCTCGTAACGCTGAAGACCCGGGTTCGATTCCACACATGGGTACAATGTGTGAAGCCCATTTCTGGTGTTCCCTGCCATGATTTCTGGAATATTGCTTAAAGCGGCATAAAACTAAACTCGCTCACTCACTCCTTTTGAAATTACGTGAAACCAGTCATGTAAATGAAATGTGTGTGAGCTTCGAAATGATTCTTACAGGTGTCAGTATTCGGAAGTGGTGAGTACTAAAGAAACATGGCTGCAAGTTTCTAAGTGGGGCAGATACCAATTTCACTGTTATGACCTCTGACCTATTCTATGTTGCAGCCAGATCAACAATGGCGTCTACCGCTGTGGGTTTGCCCAGAGCCAAGAGGCATACGACAGCGCCATCACAGGACTGTTCCAGGGACTTGACCACGTAAGATAAACCCACAAGTACATAGTGGAAAGAGCCCCAGATTGTCTAACATGGATGATCATAAGACTGATTCTCTAACATGGATGATCGTAAGACTGATTCTCTAACATGGATGATCATAAGACTGATTCTCTAACATGGATGATCGTAAGACTGATTCTCTAACATGGATGATCATAAGACTGATTCTCTAACATGGATGATCTTAAGACTGATTCTCTAACATGGATGATCATAAGACTGATTCTCTAACATGGATGATCATAAGACTGATTCTCTAACATGGATGATCTTAAGACTGATTCTCTAACATGGATGATCATAAGACTGATTCTCTAACATGGATGATCATAAGACTGATTCTCTAACATGGATGATCATAAGACTGATTCTCTAACATGGATGATCATAAGACTGATTCTCTAACATGGATGATCGTAAGACTGATTCTCTAACATGGATGATCATAAGACTGATTCTCTAACATGGATGATCATAAGATTGATTCTCTAACATGGATGATCATAAGACTGATTCTCTAACATGGATGATCTTAAGACTGATTCTCTAACATGGATGATCGTTAAGACTGATTCTCTAACATGGATGATCATTAGACTGATTCTCTAACATGGATGATCTTAAGACTGATTCTCTAACATGGATGATCATAAGACTGATTCTCTAACATGGATGATCATAAGACTGATTCTCTAACATGGATGATCTTAAGACTGATTCTCTAACATGGATGATCATAAGACTGATTCTCTAACATGGATGATCATAAGACTGATTCTCTAACATGGATGATCATAAGACTGATTCTCTAACATGGATGATCATAAGACTGATTCTCTAACATGGATGATCATAAGACTGATTCTCTAACATGGATGATCATAAAGACTGATTCTCTAACATGGATGATCATAAGATTGATTCTCTAACATGGATGATCATAAGACTGATTCTCTAACATGGATGATCTTAAGACTGATTCTCTAACATGGATGATCGTAAGACTGATTCTCTAACATGGATGATCATCAGACTGATTCTCTAACATGGATGATCTTAAGACTGATTCTCTAACATGGATGATCATAAGACTGATTCTCTAACATGGATGATCATAAGACTGATTCTCTAACATGGATGATCTTAAGACTGACTGATTCTCTAACATGGATGATTGTTAGACTGATTCTCTAACATGGATGATCATAAGACTGATTCTCTAACATGGATGATCATAAGACTGATTCTCTAACATGGATGATCATAAGACTGATTCTCTAACATGGATGATCTTAAGACTGATTCTCTAACATGGATGATCATAAGACTGATTCTCTAACATGGATGATCATGTTAGACTGATTCTCTAACATGGATGATCATAAGACTGATTCTCTAACATGGATGATCATAAGACTGATTCTCTAACATGGATGATCATAAGACTGATTCTCTAACATGGATGATCATAAGACTGATTCTCAAACATGGATGATCGTTAGACTGATTCTCTAACATGGATGATCGTAAGACTGATTCTCTAACATGGATGATCATAAGACTGATTCTCTAACATGGATGATCATAAGATTGATTCTCTAACATGGATGATTGTTAAGACTGATTCTCTAACATGGATGATCTTAAGACTGATTCTCTAACATGGATGATCATAAGACTGATTCTCTAACATGGATGATCATAAGATTGATTCTCTAACATGGATGATCATAAGACTGATTCTCTAACATGGATGATCATAAGACTGATTCTCTAACATGGATGATCATAAGACTGATTCTCTAACATGGATGATTGTTAGACTGATTCTCTAACATGGATGATCGTTAGACTGATTCTCTAACATGGATGATCATAAGACTGATTCTCTAACATGGATGATCATAAGACTGATTCTCTAACATGGATGATCATAAGACTGATTCTCTAACATGGATGATCTTAAGACTGATTCTCTAACAAGGATGATCATAAGATTGATTCTCTAACATGGATGATCATAAGACTGATTCTCTAACATGGATGATCATAAGACTGATTCTCTAACATGGATGATCATAAGACTGATTCTCTAACATGGATGATCTTAAGACTGATTCTCTAACATGGATGATCATAAGACTGATTCTCTAACATGGATGATCATAAGACTGATTCTCTAACATGGATGATCATAAGACTGATTCTCTAACATGGATGATCATAAGACTGATTCTCTAACATGGATGATCGTTAGACTGATTCTCTAACATGGATGATCGTAAGACTGATTCTCAAACATGGATGATCATAAGACTGATTCTCTAACATGGATGATCATAAGACTGATTCTCTAACATGGATGATCATAAGACTGATTCTCAAACATGGATGATCGTAAGACTGATTCTCTAACATGGATGATTGTTAGACTGATTCTCTAACATGGATGATCTTAAGACTGATTCTCAAACATGGATGATTGTTAGACTGATTCTCTAACATGGATGATCTTAAGACTGATTCTCTAACATGGATGATCATAAGACTGATTCTCTAACATGGATGATCATAAGACTGATTCTCTAAACATGGATGATCATAAGACTGATTCTCTAACATGGATGATCTTAAGACTGATTCTCTAACATGGATGATCGTTAGACTGATTCTCTAACACGGATGATCGTAAGACTGATTCTCTAACATGGATGATCATAAGACTGATTCTCTAACATGGATGATCATAAGATTGATTCTCTAACATGGATGATCATAAGACTGATTCTCTAACATGGATGATCGTTAGACTGATTCTCTAACATGGATGATCATAAGACTGATTCTCTAACATGGATGATCATAAGACTGATTCTCTAACATGGATGATCGTTAGACTGATTCTCTAACATGGATGATCTTAAGACTGATTCTCTAACAAGGATGATCATAAGATTGATTCTCTAACATGGATGATCATAAGACTGATTCTCTAACATGGATGATCATAAGACTGATTCTCTAACATAGATGATTGTTAGACTGATTCTCTAACATGGATGATTGTAAGACTGATTCTCTAACATGGATGATCGTTAGACTGATTCTCTAACACGGATGATCGTAAGACTGATTCTCTAACATGGATGATCGTTAGACTGATTCTCTAACATGTATGATCGTTAGACTGATTCTCTAACATGGATGATCGTAAGACTGATTCTCTAACATGGATGATCGTTAGACTGATTCTCTAACATGGATGATCGTAAGACTGATTCTCTAACATGTATGATCGTTAGACTGATTCTCTAACATGGATGATCGTTAGACTGATTCTCTAACATGGATGATCATAAGACTGATTCTCTAACATGTATGATCATAAGACTGATTCTCAAACATGGATGATCATAAGACTGATTCTCTAACATGGATGATCATAAGACATTCTCAAACATGGATGATCGTAAGACTGATTCTCTAACATGGATGATTGTTAGACTGATTCTCTAACATGGATGATCGTAAGACTGATTCTCTAACATGGATGATTGTTAGACTGATTCTCTAACATGGATGATCGTAAGACTGATATTCTAACATGGATGATTGTTAGACTGATTCTCTAACACGGATGATCGTAAGACTGATTCTCTAACATGGATGATCATAAGACTGATTCTCTAACATGGATGATCTTAAGACTGATTCTCTAACAAGGATGATCATAAGATTGATTCTCTAACATGGATGATCATAAGACTGTTTCTCTAACATGGATGATCATAAGACTGATTCTCTAACATGGATGATCGTAAGACTGATTCTCTAACATGGATGATCTTAAGACTGATTCTCTAACATGGATGATCATAAGACTGATTCTCTAACATGGATGATCATAAGACTGATTCTCTAACATGGATGATCATAAGACTGATTCTCTAACATGGATGATCTTAAGACTGATTCTCAAACATGGATGATCGTAAGACTGATTCTCTAACATGTATGATCGTAAGACTGATTCTCTAACATGGATGATCGTAAGACTGATTCTCTAACATGGATGATCGTTCGACTGATTCTCTAACATGGATGATCGTTAGACTGATTCTCTAACATGGATGATCTTAAGCCTGATTCTCTAACATCGATGATCGTAAGACTGATTCTCTAACATGGATGATCGTTAGACTGATTCTCTAACATGGATGATCGTAAGACTGATTCTCTAACATGGATGATCGTAAGACTGATTCTCTAACATGGATGATCGTTAGACTGATTCTCTAACATGGATGATCGTAAGACTGATTCTCTAACATGGATGATCGTTAGACTGATTCTCTAACATGTATGATCGTAAGACTGATTCTCTAACATGGATGATCGTAAGACTGATTCTCTAACATGGATGATCGTAAGACTGATTCTCTAAACATGGATGATAGATTGAACTGATTCTCTAACATGGATGATCATAAGACTGATTCTCTAACATGGATGATCATAAGACTGATTCTCTAACATGGATGATCGTTAGACTGATTCTCTAACATGGATGATCGTAAGACTGATTCTCTAACATGGATGATCTTAAGACTGATTCTCAAACATGGATGATCTTAAGACTGATTCTCTAACATGGATGATTGTTAGACTGATTCTCTAACATGGATGATCTTAAGACTGATTCTCAAACATGGATGATCGTAAGACTGATTCTCTAACATGGATGATCTTAAGCCTGATTCTCTAACATCGATGATCGTAAGACTGATTCTCTAACATGGATGATCGTTAGACTGATTCTCTAACATGTATGATCGTAAGACTGATTCTCTAACATGGATGATCGTAAGACTGATTCTCTAACATGGATGATCGTTAGACTGATTCTCTAACATGGATGATCGTAAGACTGATTCTCTAACATGGATGATCGTTAGACTGATTCTCTAACATGTATGATCGTAAGACTGATTCTCTAACATGGATGATCGTAAGACTGATTCTCTAACATGGATGATCATAAGACTGATTCTCTAACATGGATGATCATAAGACTGATTCTCAAACATGGATGATCGTAAGACTGATTCTCTAACATGGATGATTGTTAGACTGATTCTCTAACATGGATGATCTTAAGACTGATTCTCAAACATGGATGATCGTAAGACTGATTCTCTAACATGGATGATCTTAAGCCTGATTCTCTAACATCGATGATCGTAAGACTGATTCTCTAACATGGATGATCGTTAGACTGATTCTCTAACATGTATGATCGTAAGACTGATTCTCTAACATGGATGATCGTTCGACTGATTCTCTAACATGGATGATCGTTAGACTGATTCTCTAACATGGATGATCGTAAGACTGATTCTCTAACATGTATGATCGTAAGACTGATTCTCTAACATGGATGATCGTAAGACTGATTCTCTAACATGGATGATCGTTAGACTGATTCTCGAACATGTATGATTGTAAGACTGATTCTCTAACATGGATGATCGTAAGACTGATTCTCTAACATGGATGATCGTTAGACTGATTCTCTAACATGTATGATCGTAAGACTGATTCTCTAACATGGATTTACTTTGTGTGTCAGGCTGAAGAGATTCTCAGCAAACAGCGCTACTTGACAGGGAGTCAGGTCACGGAGGCAGACATCAGACTGTTCACAACCCTTGTCAGGTTTGACAATGTCTACCACACGCATTTCAAGGTAAAGATTTACCTGTCAGTATGAATAAGTTCAACACCAACTTAATGTTTGTCATTTACTTAAGAGACACGCAATACTGAAACAAATGAAAATTCATCTCATAATACGCATAAAAACTTCTAGTTTCAGGAATGAAAGTGTTTTTGTGACAAGTCAAACGATTTTGAATCTGAAACTGAAATTAGTAACCAGTAACTGACATAAAAAGCAAGAATTGGGGGGAAAAAACTCATTTGTGCAGATCTGTACACCTGTAAGTGAAACAAAACTGTTGACTGTGTTTCAGTGTAACCGACGTCAGATTATGAACTACCCCAACCTGTGGGGATACACCCGTGACATGTATCAGCTCCCTGGGGTGTCAGCCACTGTTGACATGGAGCACATCATGAAGCACTACTACGTAAGTACACCTGTATTCCCATAGATTACCTGCACAGTGCGCTTTAAGATATACCCATAAGATGCCTGTAGAATACACCTGTACAGCACATAGGTACAGTTTATTTTTCCTTATCCTGACTCATGCTCTTTTTGCTTGTCTTCTTCTTCTTGCGAACATAGTGGAACACTTGTATCTCCCTAATTGAAGCTCCCTTCAATTTAAAATCACTAATTAGTATTCACCACGAGTTACCTCCTTTCCACAAGCGGGAGAGCGAGGCCACCACCTCTACCCATGTGCCTCACTCTCTCCTTCTTCGCCCAGTGAGCTGGACGTGAGAGCGCCTGTGTCTCCCGACACACTATATCCTTTGTTTTATATTTAGTTAGTTACCTCGTATAGACATCTATAGAGGTTTAGCTAGTATCCTTCAACGATTATATATTGATATTTAGTCGTTTTTCTACAGTTTATTCACGGGACGCCGTGTTTGTTTCAAGGGATTACGTTGATGAAAATTCTGTACTATTGCAGATTACGTTTTTTATGCTGCTGCTGATCCACCTTTAATATGATGTACGGCGCCATGTTTATTATATTCACACTGCAGTTGCGGTACTAATTTATCCAATTCTACCTTTTTATTAATATTTACTTTGCGTTTGGCACGCTGGCAGATAGGTCGGCGTATGCAGAGTCTAGTATGACTGATACACGGAACCCTCGCCAGTCTACTGCTGTTGGCCGACTCCCCTCCCGTGTGGTGTTCCGCTAGAGTGGTGGAGAGGTGTGGGGCGTAGTCCGCCATCTCAAGAAGCATCCTGCTTCCCCAGACATCCCATCGTCGCAGCAGAAGACTAGAGGTTTTCTACTACATCTCAACAACCGAGACCGTTCCCATCGAAGTTTTGGGCCTGTATGATGATCAGCCGGTCATCATACCGGTTGTACATCAAAGATTGACCGATGTCGGCACAGATCAGCATGCAGCCTGATGTACCAACGCAGATATCGCGATGATGCGTCCTGAGGGTCCCATCATTACCAACACTCAGCGCAGGCGTCGCACACCCAGGGCAGCGTCGACCTCTGAGGGAAAATCAGCGAAGTCTACTAGGACTTTCTCAGCCGAGATTGTTCCAACCGATGACCTGGACCTCTACGATGATCAGCTGATCATCATCCCCGCGTCGCCACAAGAAACGACCGGTGACAGCTACAGCGACATCAGCAGAGATCACCATGCAGCCTGATGCCTCTACACTGATGTCGGACGATTTTCCGGTGGACCCCTCCATTAACACCGCAGATAAAGCACCGGCGACCTCGTCGCAGACCATCCCAGAAGACATGATCGCGACAAATTATGAACATCATGGAGGACCAATATCTGCGGTAGCAGGGTCGAAACCAGCGAAGGCTCCAACGTGAACAACACCCCAGAGGCACCCCCCGTCAACGTAGCAGCCAGGACGATGTCACCTTCGCGAAGGAAGTCACGGACCACCTTGACGAAGGACCTAGATGTACAGCCTTCGCGAAGGCCTTCGCGAAGGCGGAAAGGACCTAGATGTACAGCCTTCGCGAAGGCGGAAAGAACCTAGATGTACAGCCTTCGCGAAGGACTTCGCGAAGGCAGGATAGATCATCACCTTATGCGGTTTCATCCCTAGATGTGGACTCGGACCATCAGACATCACGGAAGCCTTCGCGAAGGTCATATCGTCGTTCCCCCGGACCGGACGCAGAGGAAGCTTCGCGAAGGCATGCGCGAAGGACACCTGAATCCAGATCATCATCATCTAGAAGGACATCGAGGGACTATACAAGAGCTTCGCGAAACTATCAACGTTCCCCTCACAAGTCTCCGAGAAGATCAACCCATAGACAAGTTGATCATCGATATCAAGTATAAGAACTACAATCGTATATTGGTTCTGTTGAATCCATGACGAGACGTATGTTCGCTGGCCTAAATAGATCTAGAACGATCAATTAGACACTTATCACCAGACTTCGTAACACGACTTCTGAATATAAGATGATCCATGCGGCCCTACTTAGGCAAGCGCTTCGCCGATCCCACATCCTGTTAAACACAGAGGCTGTTCACGAAGCAAGCGCTCATATATATATTTATATATATATATATATATACTAATCGGGCTTTGACTCGACACCTTCGCGATGGTCGCGAAGGCTAAGTGGCTCCAAGTCTACTTCACCCAGAAGATCTAGAAGGGATACTTCGAGAACTTCGCGAAGTCTCCGGCGTTCACCGAGGAAGTCTCCTCCAAGGTTTCCATATACTAGCCACTCGTCATATATAGCTACTCGTCAGTCCGTTCAAGACGTCGCATAAGTTGATTATCAACTGTATGCCAGATGCCGTCTATAAGCCTACGCGAAGATAATTGCTTAGGCTATTTACAACACAGAACGTCGCTGTATTATTAGTCAACGACATTTCATAGATCTTCACAGAAATCAACTATTCCGTATAAATTGCTAATATACAATCCCGGACGACGATACGATTATCTACATGCGTGACCATTACGCATATCTGCAGACAATTCAATATCGAAATTGAACAGCAGCCTTGTTACAGCGAGTATAACTCTTAATCGTCAAAGTTTCTGAGAAGAAATATGTACAACAAGTTCAACGTTAATTCTACAATTATGACGATACATTCATGTATACAGTCTACAAGCTCACAACTTGCAAGTTGTTTATACCCTTATATATAAGGAAGTCGGAATTATATTCAAAACTGAAATTATTTTCACGACAACCAGGAAAATAACCTACCCAGCATAAAATTTACAGAGCGAGATATTTCGCGCCGGAGGTTTCGCGCGGTTACCATTAACCCTCGAAACACGTGGTCACTCGGATAACTTCGGGAAGCTACGGTGAAGACCGACGTTTATGCTAATATCAACGACGACAAGAATTTATTCAAGGTGGGTTTTTTCCCGCTACACCGGTGACATCACAGCGCGGGTATTTATACAGAATCAAAATGCCTTGTTCTGATTGGACCGCGAGGGACAACGACCTACACAGAGGTCGATCTCTGTTCACAGTTCAAGACTTACGTCACAAGTGACAACTATATATCAGTGAACGAGCAAGCCTCATTACAGTCCAGTTAACCTGAACATTGATTAGACTGCCTTTCTTCAAGTTAGAGACCTCCCCTGTCAAGTTAAGACGAGGGATCGGCAGTCAGGCGATTTTACATAAAGTTCAACGAGGACAGACACACCTGGTTGTGCACCTACATCGTCAAGGATTTCGCAGCGAATTACCTAGACGAAAGATACAAGTGGATCTAAATCCACAGCGTTTTCAGACTACAGCTGAATTTCATCAAGCGACTAACACAACTAGATGGTTAGTAAACCTACTAAACTTCTGTTTGGAGAATAAAACGGAAATTTCACGCCCAACCTGGGGATATGAATATAGTGCTCCAACACCTCACAAGTGAGGTTTATGAACACGCCTGGATGACATACTTGGACCCCATGATACGATGATTCTATCAAGATGGCCAGCAAGAGCACTGTAAATTTATCTCCACCAAACCAAACAGGAGGAAAAAAATGCAACAGATTTTTTCCTCTATCATCAACTTACGCAGAGTGAAGTCTCGTGTACTATATCTCCATTTGGATCAGAACTGTCATACTACGTGCATATGCGGATGGACCTATTCCGACCCTCCATGAGCTTAATACTCATGATATTATAGCGCTAACTTCTAGAATTGTTCTACACAAATGTGATTGAAATAATGGAGGGTTTATTTCTGGAAATCCGATATGGTGGTTGCAAACCATTATCTGAGAGATATCACCACCGAGGACGTCTCAGGTATACACCAATTCGATCCCATGGTCCTCGCACAACAGCTGACAGTTCCTCGGAGAAGATAAGTCAATCTAACAGATTTTTACTTATCTTATAACAATACTAAATAGCTTCATGCTATATATAATTTACTTAAGTTCCTTTTATCATCACAGTACTATGATTATTACATCATACAATATATAAGTTAACAACTCTACAGAGTTTGTTATTATATATATTTACCTTAAGTTATTCATATCTTAAGAGTAATACTATGGTTACATGATAAATGCATTAGCTAACAAACTCTACAGAGTTTTTGGCTATTTTATACATAGCTTAAGTTAATTAAGCTAACAAACTCTACGGAGTTTTACTATTATATAGGTAACTTAAGCTAATTATACCTTAAGCATAGTACTATACTCATATTATTAAAATATATTGGCCAACAAACTCTAAGGAGTTTTGCTATTATATAGGTAGCTTAAGCTTATTCATATCTTAAGCTTAGTACTATGTTTATATCATATAAGTAGATTAGCTAACAAACTCTAAAGAGTTTTTTTGCTATTTGGCTTAAGTATCATCATATTTCTAAGCAATATGGTTATATTATAACATGTATTAGCTAACAAACTCTACAGAGTTTTAGCTATTATATATGTAACTTAAGCTTATTCATATCTTAAAGCAGTACTATGTTTATATCATATAGGTATATTAGCTATCAAAACTCTAAAGAGGGTTTTGCTATTATATATTTAAGCTTAAGTTTCATCATATTTTAAGCTTTATGGTTACATTATAACATGTATTAGCTAACAAACTCTACGGAGTTCTTGCTATTATATATGTAGCTTAAGTTTTCCTTCATAAGCTCAATACTAGGTTTATATCATAGCTAACAAACTCTAAAGGGTTGTTTTCGCTATTATACAATTAGCTTAAGTTTTCATCATATCTTAAGCAGTATGTTTACATTATAAAGGTATTAGCTAACAAAACTTCGACGGAGTTTTGTTATTATATATATATAGCTTAAGTTTCATCATAACTTAAGCTCAGTACTATGTTTTTAACATAAAAGTATATTAGTTAATAAACTCTAAGGAGTTTATTTTGCTATATACATTTAGCTTAAGTCTAATCTTATCTTAAGCTTAGTACTATGGTTA